TAATAAACTCCAAGCTATTCCAAGCACTCAGGCATATTCGCCCACTGAAGTTGAGGTCAAGCAAAACGGGTTAAAATGGAAGGGAAAGGAATAGAATAATAATGGTGTGGCATTGTTGTTTGTCATTACTACCCTGCAAATTTTTCAGTCTATTTGATAGATCTTCTTAGTTTCTCGAGGGAAGGATAATGTGCGATATCTCAATCTAACCCCGGACAGAAGAAAATACTTTATACAACACTCATCTTTACAATATATATGCTGACCATATGTCGTACCCCTCTCACCCCTCTCAAGCCTAGTAACTGCTACTTACACTCTTTAAAAATGAATATCTCTCCGGCCCTCACTTGCCTTTTGAATAAACAACGGAATGCTTTGTAGCATTTCGACAATGAGCGTTATTATTTATTATTATTTTTAATGAGCTAACAAGTTCTGCCATACGTCTCCCTATAATTAGGATGGGTCCGGTTGAAAGCTTTAAAGTCCAGCGATTTACCTATTCAACAGTCAGTTCGTTTTGATGAACACTACAATGTCCTCGCCTTGCATTCCTGGACATTTTTTGAAGAGGTATGCGCAGTCTACTAGGCATTTAGTGCAACCAAACTGTAGACCTTAACTTAGTGTCCGTGACACCTTTCGTCAATTATCTAGTCCATTTCCTTAAGTAATGCAAAGGCCTCCTGTTTAACAACTTTCCTGACGCCAGTCAGCCATTTCCAGACTTGAAGCCGTTAGTAAATATAGAAAATTTTTAGGAAGTTCCCTAATAGAATATCTGGGTCTCTCTACTCTTCTCTTTCGTCTAAAGTCGAACCCAGGTATCACTTTGTTACCTAAGACCAAAAACTCAGAGTATTATTTTGACATTGTCATCATTGCTTCCCCTTTGAGAGTTAAGTCCAAAGATAGCAAATCACCGCTGATGTGAAACTCATGGTTTTTGAGTTGGTAAATACCATACTAAATACTTAAAGTACCTAAGCCAAGTCTTTTCGAAAGTTCACCGACATTGTCCGAAGGCGTTTAGTGCTCAATGTACACTCAACTCGACCTGGGTGGTTTCACGTTAGACTAACCCCCAGATATCACTTCCGCGGTAAATTTTATATTTAATTTTCTTAAAACGCTAAAAATGTCACCACCTTCCAATTATCTTTTCGGAGTAAATGAGATTAGTGATGTCCTGCCCGAGTTGATGATTAACCCTTGCATAACTCCATGAATTTTCGCGTAGTTTGTAAATATTTTTAATAGGGTTGCCGCCTGTTTAAAAAGTCGACTTCGATTAAGTTATACACAATGAAATATCAAAATATGCGAAACAAAAGAATGTTAAGAAATCTTTAGTTTTAACACTAAGAACATTTTTGAGGTGCTTAGAGAGGATTGCCACCTGTTTAAAAAGTTAAATTCACGATATTTAATAATTTTAATGCATTACTAAAATATTGTTATCAATCGAATTGGTTTTGACAAGGCTTTATTTCTGAACTCCATATATTCGGGGGGTTTCCACATGTTTAGAAGATCAAATTCACCTTATTTCATCAGTTAGTTAAAATACGGGTCACAATGTCAGACGAAGGTTATTTAAGAAGGCTTTAGCTTGAAACTACTTTTGAGGAGGGTTGCCACCTGTTTCGAAAGTCGAATTTAATTAATTTCATTTCATTACACTGCCTTGTTTTTGTT